ACCCGGGCAAAATTCCAAATTTCCTACCAACTGAAAATATTAGGTGTGTCCCGCGCGCTCATATGACCTTATGCAGTTGCGAGCGCCGTAAAACACTTTACCCCCCCCCAAAAAAAGTAACGTGACACAGTTATCAAAGTTCTGAAGTAACGTATCAACCTAACTCTTTTATAAAAAACAAATTTTGGAGGAGGGTTTGGTAAAACTTTTACGGTGCTCACAACTGCATAAGATCATGAGTGCACAAGATACAAGTTGGTCATTGTTGAATAAGTTCACAGCATGTCTAGGTTTTGCTTTGCACGTCAGGATGGTTCAAGTATATAAAAATACATAGTAAAATTTGAAGTAACAAAAACCCCCAATAGCTTAGACTTTCTTTCAATAACAGTATCCACATTTTGGTGTAAATTGGTCTTTACAAAACTGAGAATTCTTTTGGGACCATGATGGAGAACAAATTCTTAAAACTAGTGCACTTAAAATAATTACTTTGGGTCGTTCCAAAGTAAAGCCAATATCCCATCCAACACAGAATTGCTTTTCCTCTCCCGGCACGAGTAATTTATGTATCAATGAGGTTTTTCAAATATGTAATTTTGTCTCCTCTGGAGAAAACCCAAAAGGTTTTCATGGACCCAACTTGGGCATGGTATTATGGAGTTTGTTGCTTGTTTGCTGGCTTCAGTATTCTCCAAACCAACTGGAGGTGTAGCATTTGACTAAATTTCGACAGTTTGTCTGCAGGGGGGTGTTCTTCATTGATCCCAGTAGGAGGGACAAGGATTCCTTCATCAGAAAACCAAACTGTTTGATTACTTGATGCCTACATGGCCAGGTAGCCACACAAACACAAAACATTTATATTGTTCAGTCAAATAAAGAATCCTCAACTGTAATTTAGCTATCTATTAATTTCTTATCAACTCAAAGTTTGGTAACAGTTGAACAATGACAGCAATAGTTTTAACCCATTTGAAGGAATACTCAAAGGACTTCACCAGTTTTAAAATATAGCTTGAAAGTTTAAAACTTTATTGATAAGTGTAGAATAGATTCAACTCCACAACAGCTTGACAGATCATTAATATGACAGTAAAGTGGTCATGCTTTTTTTTCTTTAAATACTGACTACATAACAGTTACAATACATTTAATAAAATTTGACATAATGTCTGTCAACAACGGCAGGATCGTTTACAACCATAAATGCTACGTGTGTAATCTACAAAAATAAATAAAGCTAGAATATATGTCTACTACATTTTCACCCCATACTAATACAACAGAAAAAGGAACATTTTAGCTTACTAAATGAAGAACATTGTGTCGAGAGGAGCATTTAATTTCAGCGACAAACAAACAAAATACAGCCTTACCTTTTTCTTCTCCATACTTTCCTCTGTTTCTCTGAATTGTATGACCCTGTAGCCCTCGGCATCCTTGGGATCAGAGTCCAAGCCAACGGTGTAGTTGGAAAAGAACCTCTGGGGTTGACATACCAGCTCTGGCCTGTTGGCAGGCTCAGCACTTGGAGTGACTGAAAACATACAGAAAGTATTACTGTGTTGAAACCAGACATCCATCCTTTACTCTTTTTTAGTAAGGGTTTTACTGCATGTGTGAACACAATATGGTCATACAAGTGCCGAAGATTAGAGGTGTTACAAGAGTAAAGAGTTACACATGTCACCTGACCAGCCAGCCTCGAGAGCCTACAACACCAAGCAATCAGGCTATAAAGGAATAGGAAGACCACGCAAAAGGTGGATCGAGGATGTCAAGGAAACCCTAAGAAAACATAACATCACAACTGAAAGAGCTGCGGAGCTGGCCTACCATAGAAAACTGCATCTCCCCTCAACGCTTAACTGCAACGGAGGATGAAAAAGTAAAAGTAAGTAAGTACAAGGGTAAAGCGTACTAAAAAAGGAAGAGAGAACAGGACGATCCATTTTTTATAGGAGAGACGGAGAAAACCACACCAGAGAAGCTTCCAATCACCCACAATCCTTTCCTAAGGCAGGTGCCTTTGTCTTTGCTCACCAAAAAGGCACCAATTGTAATTCAGTTTGTGGGGAATTTTTTGCATTGCAAAGGAGGAGCACCCAGGTCAGGGGTTGGGGTTGTTTGTTTGAGTAAAGAGAATTACATTGACACAATAAAAGGACTCTAATTTAGTGCTGGGAAAAAGTATGACAGAGACAACAGAAGGAAAGAAAAAAAGTGGGACCTACCAATGGCACTTTCCAGCCACCCGTGGCTGTGGTTGTAAAAAGTGAAGAAAAAGGGTTGTTTGTTTTGGGTTTTTTTTTTACCCCAACACAGGTGTTTTAGTATTTAGTAAGTGTTTTACGGCACTTGCAACAAATAAGTAGACATCTGTCTGCTCCGCTCAATATCAGTCGTAAGACGCACAGTCCTATTATCAGCTATGAGGCTCGAAAGACAAAAACGTGACTTTTCATGAAATTTTTGTTTTTTGGATCTAATAAAAGCATGACTCTGCTTCATATAAGATAAAAATAAACAACTATAATCGACTATAAATAATTTATTTTGATTTATTTTGGAAGTGTGTATGGTTTGTTGTGAGCTTGGGTGACAAGATAAAGGAATTTGGACCTTGCTTGTGTGTTAAGGTGTGAGATTATTTTTAGAACCATTACCACATGGCCACCTTTGCTTTGACCAAAGATTGAGTATAGTAGAGAATCTTTCCTTCAAAGTTCTTCATTTGCAACTATTTTTAGATTTTGCCCCCCTTTCGAGCATGAATGGGCAGAAATGTAGACAACTCTGATTGGTAAAATGGAGTAAAAAAGGTAACTTCTAGCTCACTTCAAGCTTGTTTACGTAAACAGCTGACTGTGTGGGCGTGCCCTGCTAGCTGTTATCGTCTGTTGATTTTTCAGTTTTACACTTGGATTGACTTCAAAATTCCTTTTTCATTGTGTTTTAGTGCTTTTAAAAGATTAATTAACCTTCCTCTAGATCTCTCAAAGCGGACTCCTTACCAGAGGCCAGCGAGGCGGTCTAAGTGCATGTGTGCGTATGTAGTGCTTGTATGTGTGTGTATGTGTGCGTGTGCATGTGTTTGTCTGTGTGTGTGAATGTGTGTGCTCTCGTGCGTTTATGGTGCTATTGCAAACATATAATAAGGTAGTGTAAAGACGGCACCTGTGACCTTAGCCGACTCGCAGCCTTTCGAGCGCGTGGTTTCGGTGAAACGGGGGCAATTCGGATCTCTGTTCCTTCGCTCTTTTGCTATAAACAGCAAATGCTGAACACTTTGACAAACTTCAGATTTTCTTCGTTACAGTAGAGTGAGTTGTTTTTACATCCGAGTATTTGGAGCTGGAGAATCGCAGTGGAAAGGGAATGAGCCCCTCGCAGTCGGAATGCGAGGTCGGCAGGTTCAATTAAAACCCATGCATTCGAATGCTTTGCAGAAAGATTGATGATTTAATACCGCCTTTTCATTGGCAGAGAACTATACAGCTTTGAACGTGGTTTCCCGTGGTTATAATTTTTGGCCTTACGCGTTTACCGCCCCCCCCAAAAAAAAATCCTATAGAAAGAACAGTTCTTTTTCTATTAGAATAAAGTCATTGGCTTGGAATTATTTTGAAAGAATCCTCCCGCGAAACTCCGGGGAGTACTCAGTATACTAGTACTACAGTATAGAGCCGGGGCCCATGCGGCGCCAGCCGAGACAACGCTCGGTGTTTTTATTGAAATAATCACAGATCATCGTGTTTGAGGCAATAGAATACTGATTTGTAATGATCTCACAGTATTGAAAAAAAAAATTAGGCTCCATTTCTTTGTTATACAGATCGTACTCTGTTAATGTAGAGATGTTTGGTGAACTTGGTACTCTTGTATTACATGTATCTGTTAATCATGAGGTTGCAGACAGCGACTTCATCAAATTTGATTATTGTGTTAAATTGAAACAGCTGCCATTCTCTTAAACATTGACTAAGAGGTAAAAGTATGGTACTAAAATTCTCAGGAGACATAGGCCTTTCATATGAAACAGACGAATTTGACATACATGTACAGCTACTTTGAAAATTGAGTATGTGGTACCTAGCATAATGCTAATATTTTGTTGCATTTGATGTTAAGTCCATTCTCGTGAAAATTTTGTTTTGTCAATAAGTTCTTTTCTCTGTAAATGAATCATTTTCTACTTCTGTATATTACCTTGTAGTGGCATAACCAAGATAACAGCTAAATTTCAAGTCTTTATCTCAATTCTAAGACCCATGTTGCTATGGCAACATGTTGCTCACATCGGAGGCCATTTTCTCCTTTTCATGTTTCCTCACCTTGCAAAATTAAAAGTTCTGTATTTTTGTCAAATATGGTCATATTTACTTCATTCTTGTTTTAAATTGTAGGGAGAAGGTGATAGTTTTGAAAATAATGTTAACTCGGTTTTGAAATTTCCTTCATATGACTGATATTGACCGGCAAGGACACATATATGAAACATTAGGATTTACTTTACTTTACTTTTCCGATCCAGCGGCCATCTGGGTTCTTGCCCTTCAGCCAGTTGCTATGGCAAAAAATTTACAGATCAGCTGTGTTTTGTCACTGTATTTAAGTATCTCCGATATCCGGGGAGGCAGGTAGGTAGGTGCTACGCAGGAATAGAGATGGTGGAATACTGTTTCATCCTGGCAGTCACACAGTGGGCAGTCGGGTGGGGTATCCTTGCGGATCCTATTTTGGTAGGAATTCAATGGGATGTTTTGTGTTCACAGAGTGTTGTATCAACCGAGGGTCAGGTCAAAGTCATTGAAACCATGGCCGGGCACGGCATTCATTATAGTGCAGTCAAGAATGTGTGGCGCAACTTATTGTCAAATATTTCCTCAACTCAAACATAAAAGTCTCCAGCTTTTTCACAATGACTAGAATCAAACTGTCTAAACAGATCAATATTTTTGTAAACATCTGTTGGCCATATTCCAGAAAATTCCTGATAAATATTAATTAAAAATCCCAGAGATTGGTTTCTACAGATTTTAAAAGGTTTACAACTGGGACAACATCACTTTTAAAAGCAGGTCCGGCGGATTTTCCCTCTAATCACGACTTTATGCTTATTGAATACGTTTTGAGAACCTTGGGAACAAAAAAAGTGTTCACTATAAAGTCAACTTCTTGTAATAAGTTTTGCCACTAAAAAGTGCTATTTGTGAGCTGTTATGCAGGCCATATGCGTATGCAAAATGGGTGTGAGAAGCGGGAAGTGCTGTGAATATTCCCATTTTCCATGTGACAGAGACTTATAGTATTTTATATTTATTTATGAAGAAAACTGTTTTAATCAAGCCTCAATTGTTGTGGAAAAATAAGTTAAGACAAGTCATAATGATGTACTGTGATATATATGCATGTGTATGCCAGACTGTGTGAGACTGAAGAAATAGCGAGTGAGAATGAGAGAGAGAAAAAGAGAGAGATAGAGAGAGAAAAGAGAGAGAAAAGAGAGATAGCGAGAGAGGGAGAGAGAAAGAGAGAGAGAGATAGAGGGAGAGGGAGAGAGAGAGAGGGAGAGAGAGAGAGACAGACAGAGAGAGAGAGAGAGAGAGAGAGAGAGAGAGAGAGAGAGAGAGAGAGAGATAGAGATAGAGTGGAAATGTTTTTCTATGTTTTTCTATCTGTATAGAATTAATGTTTTAATGAATGTTTCTAGTTACTCACGTTTCAACTGTATTTTGACTGTTCGTGAATTTATATTGCATTGTATATTTTTAGTGAACACATTTTCAACCTCACTGCGAGACTCTTTTTCTGGTATAAAATTTTACAGATATGCATTTATATTATATGTATAATACTTTGTTTTATGTACACATTTGTGTCGATTAATTTTTAAGATGTGATGTCTTTTTCATTGTAATGCGCATTGAGCATCTTTTAGGAAATGGAAATGCGCAGTATAAATGCTATTTATTATTATTATTATTAATACAAACTGCTGTGCAAAAGGCAAAGTATAAGTGGCATAGATTTACCCGATAGGGATATTTGAGGATAAGTTGCACCACAAATCTTTTACCCGACTATTGTAAAGGATACCAGTTTGGAATGTGACCTGATGTTTATTTCAAACGCAAATTGTTTATTAAGTCATAAAACCAAACTCATTTCACAGTTGCCAACTGCAAGTGATTTCAGCTGACAAGCATACACTACAATCATCAGTTCACAGAATTAATTTAAAAAATGTCCATCACACTTGCAAACATCAAAGTATAATAAGGACATTTTTGTAGGCTATTCTGTCATTGAACATAGGGCTCTCTAATCCTGCTTGCAAAGAAGAGGGTTGAAAAAATTGGAGCTCAGGACTCATAGACAGAAGTCGAAATTAGTGAGACTTGCGACAGCTGGTCTACATTATGTTTCATTTAATTGATCACTCTCAAAAGCCAGTCGGTTTCGTATCCAGATACCATGTGAGTCCAATGATCCCTTTCAACAGAAAGGTGGGGGAATAGGCAGGACCCGAAATATAACACTCATCCCTGAGAGGGCCAATCCAGGTGAAAGAGTCACCCTAAAATTAAGCCATGCCAAAAATGCAACTTTGAATATTTGAACCTGGGTCACATCACCAGTCCAGCACAATTCTAGCTTAGTTGACATCACAACTCCTTGTTAATTTTAAGTTTGTTTAAAGTTTTACGGCGCTCATAACTGCATAGGGTCATATGAGCATGCGGGACACAAGTTGGTCATTTTTGACAGTGTAACATGCCTTGGATTTACTTTGAGAGTCAAAATGGTTGAAATATAAAAAATAAATGGTAAAAATTTAGATTTAAAAACTGCAATTTATAATTTTTCAAATAACAATTATTGACATACATGTATTTCATTATTTGTGTAAAGGCCAATGGCTTTTGTAAAAACTACAATTCTGTTGGGATAAACGAGTGACAACATAAAAAAAAAATTAGTACATTTAGAATATTTCCTTCAAGTCTCTCAAAAGTCCGTCATTCGATACAAAATGGTTCTTCTACTCCCTGCATGAAGTGTTTATGCATCAGGGAATAAGTCTAATATGCCATCTAGTCAAGATAACTTTTGTCTCCTCTGGAGGGACCCGAAGGTTTTCGAGGGTCTGATTTGCACATAACATTGTGGAGTTTATGATTCAATTGCTCACTCCAGTATTCCTCTCATAGACTTGAGGTACAGCTTTTAACTTTTTGTTTAAAGTCTGTCTGGAGAAGGGTGTTCTCCGTTGATCCTAACAGAAGGGATAAGGATTCCATGTTATAAAACTTCACCTTTCTTACTGGTTAGTGCATAGCTAACAAAGAACACAGTTAGACAGTAATGTTTTTTTTTTAAAACTAAAGGCCATGTTTTATTTTTGCTAACATTTAAGACCCTTCCAATAGCTAAGTGCATTATTTCCAAGGGCAGACCAGTTGAACCCACTCTACAGAGAAACATTACATGAATGACCACAAAACAATTTGAAAAAAAGGTCATGAAATGTGAAAGCATTATAATCATAACTTTGGGTTATCATTCAAATTTAAAACAAACTTCCTTACAAGAGTTGACCACACTACACGTTAAGTACACATGTATAGAGGAACCAAACAAGTGTCACAGATATCTGTGAACACTCCTGGTGGGTGTGAAATTTGAAACACTTTTCTGAAATAAGAGAATGCCTTTTCCTCACATGAGACACAGATCGCTTTTACAGGGCTATAGCGTGGCAACTGTGAATTGTATAACTTAGACCAACAGTCATCTCCCGTTGCAACAAATTCTGTTCAAAGGGTAAAACAGTGCTACGCTACCACCCTCACTCAGCAGCCAGTGTTCCAGTCACCAGAATGGGACTTTCGTGGTCGAGAGATTACAGTGTTCGCCTAGTTCTCTAAAATTTTCTACTTTCACCTCCTTTCCTGCTCTGTAACAATTTTCTGTCATCTGCTTTCGTCTTCACTTTCTGCCCCCACCCTACTGCTACTCCTTAGTTCCTTCTTACTGCTGTCTTTCAACCACATCTCTGATCTTCTGTCAAGTAAGATCAGACCTAACACCTAGCCTTCTCAGTTAAGGGTGAAAAATCTCCAGGGTTAAAGATCCCTTGATGTATCAGAATCGATAAGAGAAAGCATCGGCTACCACCCGGGCAAAATTCAAAATTGCCTACCAAGTGAAAACGTTTAACATGTCCCGCGCACTCATATGACCATACGCAGTTGGGAGCGCTGTATGTAAAACACGTAAATATTAAAAATCCAGTTACCAGAGATAATCTGGCTTGAGGAATTTGACACTCATAGTTTCCCTGCCAGTAGGAAGAATATCACATTACAGGCTGTCATGTCAAAGACAAACACAGACATATTATATTATAGTCGTTTCAAGTATGCACGAGAGCAGTAACTGCCTGTACGTTGTGTTGTGTTGTGCCATTCACAGAAAAAAAACCGCAGTGTCATAGCTACTTTCAGTCGTTACTTGTGACAAGGACACTGGTCAATGATTAGTGTCTTCTCACTAACACAGCCTGGATGAAACATGTCACGAATCATGGGCATAATTCAATAACAATTGTAGTACAAGAATACCACATTCATTTTAGGTTTTTCTACATCTCCATAAAAACATTGATAGAGGGTCATGATTTATTGAAATAAATTTGAACATGATAGCTGTGGTCAATTTTGACAATTCTAAGATATTGGGTCAGAAATTCAGTAAAGTTTCAAACTCGCTTGGTTGTATCTGTGTGTTGTTGCCTAAAGCAAAGATATTAAGTGGAGATTCACAGCTTTTCGCCATATGTCCTCAGTTCCCATAGTCAGCTTAGTGACGACTCTTGAGAAAAACGTATCACTCTAGGATCGCGGGTATCACCAGTCAGGGTGTCAGCACTTATAACTGCATTTAAGCCTACTGTCACACTATTGGTAAAACACACTATATAATTATCAAAACATTTTAAGAGATGCTAGACTTGAAACAAAACACACACAAAAAAAAATTCTTGGAACACAGAACAAAAGACGTCTATATCATTTTAAAGAAGAAAAAATCACTGAAAAACGACACAAAGTTTGAAACTTTTACACCATTTGTACAGTATACCTATCCGTACTAGATTTGTAAAAAGAATTGAAACTGAGGGTGAATTTACGAAGTTAATGGCGTTTAAATTCAAATGACATTGAAAAAGGAATCCGACTCGATAGAAACATGTCTTGGGGAATGTTTATGTAATTTAAAAAAAATTAATTAACAAATCACAACAACAAAAAAAGACACAAAATTGAAACTTGCAACATTTGTACAGTATACCTATCCCTACTAGATTTGTAAAAAGACTTGAAACAGATGGTGAATTTACGGAGTTATTGGAGTTTAAATTCAAATAACACTGACAAAGGAATGCGACTCGATAGAAACACGTCTTGGGAACGTCTATGTAATTTTTTAAAATCAATTAAAAATCACAGAAAAACTACACAAATTTGAAACTTGCACAATTTGGACAGTACACCTATCCCTACTAGATTTCGAAAAAGAATTGAAACTGATGGTGAGTTTACAAAGATATTGGCGTTTAAATTTTAAAAACACTGAAAAAGGAATCCGATTCGATAGAAACACGTTTTGGAGAACGTAGTTCGATAAAATCAAGGTTATGAACTGAGATCGACCAAAGTTATATCGTCTTGTAGGGGGAAAGCTGAGCTTTAAAATGGTGGGTCATATGGTGATATCACATCTTTAGATTTGGAGATATCAGGATGGGAATGACACTATAATTTGGAGGAAATGTAATACGCCGGCAGGCGGGGGCGCGCCGCTGGCGTCATGGTAGTGAGCATGGCTGACCGCGGATTTAATGACCAACACATGGGTGGCACTGACCGCTGGCACGAAGCAACTAAAGGAGCGGTTTCCGGGCGAGCTGAACAACCGTGATGACACTTTGCATGGCACTTCTACAGGCTAGCAACCAAAACAAAAATATTTTTTCAAAAAATCTCGACCCAGTAATAAAAAAGTTTTTCTCTTTGGGCTCTATATTAAAAACAACTCTTTGGATGCATAAACAGGATCACGTCTCAGCGTACTACAGGTGAGTCTCGAAAATTACTCACCCCGTCTCTTGAATCGTGTTTCTTAGGCGAATTAAAGAGCGGTTATGAACTTCTGTTGTGAAGGGGAACTACGTAGATTTGTTTCGTTTCTCAGTAGAAGAATCACAAAGGCCAAAGAAGGACAGGAACTTTTTGTCAAATATAATATTTTTCTAAATTCACGAAACGAATAAATCATAAATCGGGCTCCGTCATGGGGACATAACCATCTTTTTGCAGGTACTTGCCAACTTTCAACTCTGTAGCTGTCATAGTTTTATGGGAAAAGTGACACATGTGTTTCCAAGTTACCAAATATATAATAGATGTAATTCATTTTGTTTATTTCAAAGGTGCAGCCAAATCTTGTATTACTTGAACTACAAACAAATTTATCACAGAATTGAAAATATTAGATAATTATTCAAATACGGCCATTTTTCTGTTATTTCTGGGACAACTGTCACACATTAATCAAAGCAATTACTTTGTACAATACTTTATTTATGAGCTGACCTTCACTTGAATCAGTGCTGTCTCCAGGGCTGACAGTCACGTCTCCCATGTTGCTCTCAGAGGATGGGTCTGACGCAGCGCTCTCATTTGTCTGAGAAACATTCTCTGCCACATAACTGCCAGTGAGCGCGGTGACAGTAACCTGGGAGACAGTACAGTGGTGCAAATAACAATAGGAAAATACATTTTTTAAGGGGAGGGGCTGATTTTAAATTGACGATTTTGGGTCAATTTATGGTATCTGGATTTTTTACGTATTATAATACTTCAACCACTTTTCAATCTAAAAAATGGTTACTCTTTGTGTTACAATCATCATCTTTCAGATTTTCTGTCCTACAACTTTTATTTTGCACATTATGTAACAAAATGTCGTTTTCCCCTCAAAACTTCAATTTTTGATAGTTTTTCTCATCTACTTTTAAATTTTCTATTGACTCCAATGAAATTTTCCAGGCTTGTCATTCACATATTAACCTAACTTTATACAGGTGGAAAAGCAAATCGATGCATTCATATATTTGAGTTACTAGGATGTTTATGAAATCGAATTCAGAGGCATGAAGGGGTCGGTCAGTTATCCTTCTCTAACTTTTTTCCTATTATTCAAGATCCCAACTGTATAAAATTTTGTATTGTATATCTATTAATGTAACAAATTTGAAAAATTTGTTGGTAAATAAAAAATCCTTTTTACTTTTATGAAAGCTGTTTATTTTCAATATGGCCGCTGTTACCATGGTAATCGTAAACGTTAACAAAAGAATTATATATACATTTTAGAGATGTTTTCCAGTTATAATACCTTCTTGCTATAAGGCTCAATCTAAAAAGGCCATAGTTACAGAGACAGGTTTATAAACCAGCCCCCACCCTTTAAAAAGAAGATTCACAGTCTGCACGCACATAGATAACAGATTTTCAGGTCCTGAATGTGTTCTTGTGTGTGTATATAATAATAATAATATTCTTTGCATTAAAAACATAGCAAAATTTGTTTTTTAACAAAAAAGATTTCAGCATCCCGCCAATATGCCTGTTTCACTGAATAACCATGCATAAAACTAAAAGAATACTCTTTATACTTTATATAATTCTTACTGCGTCTAAACAACATGGCAGATCGAAAAGTAGCACTAACATTCATTTTACTACACCAACACGATCCCTCAGATTATCATTCAACCGCTAAACCTTAGTAGATCATATGCGCCAGTTATTGGCACTGTACTATTAAGGGTACATGTGAAACCAGAAACATCAAAAGATTGAGTTTGAACCATAACAATCTACAATTACTATAAAATCAACATGGTGAAACCACATGGATCTGTAGTGAAAAAAGACATCAATCTGATTGGTTAAATTGTTCTGTACACAACACAGTTCAGAGGAGTGGTCAAAGAGGAGACAATTATTAATTCTATTTAGATGCTCCCAGGCAGCAAAGAGTAGAGGTCTGCTACCTTCCACTTACTTAAAGACAGAGGAAGGCACACATTTATATTATATATGTATATATGTTTTATGCTCATATCGATACAATTCATAACTTTTGGGAAGTTAACTACATCAGTCCTGAGGGTCAACATGAGAAGAAGAAAGTAACACATTATCTGACTAATAATACAAAAACACTTGACAAAAGTATTACAAAGAGCCTGCTGTAACTTTCTAAATTGTAAAGGTATCAAAGGCTGGCACAGAACCTTCAATGATCCATAGCAGGGTAAAATTAAAATGTTGATGAAAATTAATAAATACCGACCTCTGTGTCATTGATGTCGTGAGCGTGATAGACCACAGGGGGATCCCATGCGACAACTACATTCGTCTCCCCAGTGTACAGCACTGTAAGGTTCCCTGGTGGCCCCAACATTACATGTTCTGAAACCGAAGTCAAACCCAAAAAGGTATGAGAAAAGCAGTGTCGAACAGAAAGAACTGAATTGACTTGAATTTATTTGATGGGCATGGGCTAAATGCCCTTCACAAAAATAAAAGCAACATACATTTTTAAAGAAAGTACTTTTGCGTCCCCAAATGAAACAATTTTGATCATTTAGGAATTTAGGGGGCAGACTCCCGACCCTGCCTGTAAGGGCCAACCATTGGTTCCGACCATCTGTGTTGTTGCATTTAATCAGGCACTTTTCAGTCACATACAGAGGACCTGAGTTTGATTCCGATGAGGGGGGAATTTTTATCAAGTATCTTGGTCTTTCTGATGGAGTCTTCTATCCCTCTCAGCCTGGTTTGCTCATGACAGGTAGGGTGGAAGTCTGTCTCCTAAATGATCTAAACTGCATCAATGGGGGTGTGAAAACTCTGATGAAAAATCCATCTCTTATCAAATATTAACATTACAGTTTTTCATTCCTAGCAGTTGTGTAAGGAATTGTTCAGCCTGTTGGGAACTTGAAGCAAGATTTGGAGGGTTCTGATTCAAGAGAAGAGCACACAAAAATATAATTGGTCCGGTATTTTATTGTAGCCTCGGTCTTCGTATGATGGGTTCGGCTCATATAATTAATGACAATGAGAGGAATCAACATAAAATCGTAACACAATTGATGTGTGGTTAGCACTTCTTCTGTAGTTACTATATTAGGCACTGCTGGTACATTTACTGTCTCAAAAAAGGCCCTGCGAAAGAAATAACGTCCCTTTACTGCAAATCAAGTTTACCTTGCACAAACCCTGTCAAACCTCATTAAAATTTGAAACTTGGAGAATACAAAAATGGCCATAAACTTTAATTGTATGTGACACTGACTGATGAATGAAGTGTCAATTCAAAGGAACAGAGTCAATATTTAAATATGTTTAAGGCCAACACAGAACTGACAAATCTTGATGAAATGTGCAAATGATACACTCTATTACAGTGTCAATAATACTCTGGAATTTGATGCTTTAAAAAATCACAAATTCCATGATGTTATTCTGCCATCCAAAGCCTGATGAATGATGTAACTGAGCCTTTGCCAATTGGTGGGTACCTAATGTAGCACAAAGGGTTGATGATAAAGTTTTTAATATTTCGTTTTTACTTGAATTTTTCTATTAATGTATTCTCCTCTTACAAAAACATGTATTTACAGACCTACTGATGGCATGTTAAGCTAATAATATAGGCATTACATAACATCAAGTAAAATTCTTTTGGACATAACTATGATGACACTTTTTTTAGAATTTGAACAAACAAAAGTATTTAAATAGTTTTCTTATTGCTTTAATTTTCAAATTTCAGCACAAAGAGCATATATATATAATAAAATGGAGAGGATATTACATATACAGACTCAAAGCTGTAGCATCATTTTTACTGGAATAGGAAAGGATAAGGTAAAGTAAACGAAGAAACCCCCTCCTATTGGCAAAGGCTCAACTGCATATTTAATGATGACGAAGAAAATGTGCCAGTGCAAGTAGCCTGTCAAAAGTTGTGAACACTTCAAAACATGGTTCCCCATATTTGTAGAATATACGTCACTCTGAATCAACATTAGGTTTGAAATCAGTCACTTACATAGAGTTGTAAGGAGTAGTAAAGTTGTCTGCCTTTGACAGAAGGCAGATTTCACGATAAGAGAGTGGGAGACGACACGTGGCTTTAAATTTTTCAAACAAAATCGCTTCCTTGCTCTAAGATCAAGACTAAATTGGGTCAAGGCAAAAGTTTCATACTAGAACAAGGAAGCCATTGCTCTGCTCTTAATCTAAAAGTATTTTTTAAAAGTATCCAATATGAAAGCAGATTATAGCATCGCAGTGGCTATTTTTACGGTCATGTGAAGACGGTCTTTGGGGCTATTTTTATGGAAATGGAAAGACGATCTTCTGGGCTATTTTTACGGTCGTTAGACAGGAACAATTTACATAAACATACATAACTGATGTTGTTATCCTTATTACTGTCGTTTTATTAGAAGTGCTGTTGTTGTTCAACAGTGAAATCTGGATTCTAGATCTAGTTAGGAACCAGATCTTTCATTGTTTGACTGCTCTCAGGAAACGAATAGGACAGGACTAGATTTTTTGTGTGTGAGACCTTAATAGTTTCAAGTGCTAGATAGAATGCAGATACGGGACCCTTAACAAATGACGTTAGCTAAAATTTGGCCAAAAACGACCCCCCCCCCCCCGCCATCTTTCCCAGGACCTCCCCCACCCCCCCATTTTATATTTTTACACCTTTGAAAAACTATTGTTTATTAAAGAATACAACAACAAAAATACCTAAAACTGTCAAATTATTTTTATTAACAACTTTAACCAATCAAAGTAATTAAAACAAATTGATCTAGATGGATATCACAGCTTGGAAAATAAAGCAAAAAGATTGGAGTATCATCTCAGCTTGGAAACAATGATATGAATATCAAATTAAACCAGAAAAAAAAAATAAATTTGATTATGAACGGCATGCATTATTTAGAAATGCAATATGAAAAAAAATCTCTACAAAACAAGTTGTAATGAGATTTCAAAGAAAATAAAAGGAAATGAATGTATTATTCCCAGTCTTTTAGAGTATTGGTCACGGCTGTTCACCAGCAGTACTTTAGTTCTACCGGCACCCCGCAGCGCCCCGACGCTCAGCGTAACTCGAACCAGCCATTACCAACGGGTCAAGAGGTCAGCGCGGGGAATTTTACACCTGACTGAAAGATTCGCGATGAAAATGTTATTGCAGCAGTTTTCAGCTTTGTTTAACCTGCGACTAAGCCCAAACTACAGCACCAACTGTGCATAAAATCGTATACTTTGAATAAGCATCACCTGACATATTTCTTAGAACAATCATGCAATTAATAAAGATAAAGGAATACGAGATGATGAAGAAAGAAAAGTGGATACATGTTTAAACATTGATAGAGGGTCATGATTTATTTCATCAAATTTGAACATGATAGCAGCGGTCGATTTTGACAATTCTAAGATATGGGGTCCGAAATTGAATAATGCTTAAAACTCACTTGGCTGCATCTGTGTGTCGTTGCCTAACGCAAAAATATTAAGTCTTGAGAGGAGATTCACAGTTTTTCGCAATATGTCCTCAGTTCCCCAAGTCCAGCTGTCACATGTGACGATGCTTGATAAAAACGTATCACTCTGGGATCGCGGGTACCACCAGTCAGGGTGTCAGCACTTATAACTGCATTTAAGCCTACTGTCACAATATTGGTAAACACACTATAATAATTATTATTACATTTTAAGAGATGCTAGATCTAGATTTGAAACAAAGCACACACAAAAAAAAATCTTGTGAACACTGAACTAAAGATGTCTAGATCTATATATATCATTTTAAAGAAGAAAAACTTTGTAGTACAGATTCCGTAATTTACATATCCTACTTTTTCTTTAATTATACGCGTTTAGGGTTAAAACGCCCATTTTCGGAGAGGTGGACACATGCCCTAAATTTTTTGGCTTATTTTTAGGTGCTGTTCTAGTTTTGATTTCATTCTCTTGTGAAACCTTTTTTTTTTGCGTTTTTACACTCAGCGTGGCTATCATAAATGATATTTCGGATGCTTAATTCAGAGCACTAGAAATTCTGGTGCTTTAGATTAATTAATTACCTCTCTATCAACATAAAAAATTGCTGTACACGTTGTCCAAGAGAGTTGAAAGCTAGAAAATCAATGGGACCTGCCACTGTCAGTATTCGATTTTGATGGAGACTCTCTAAAATTATAACACATTCATTATATTTTTAAAAAATGAAGGAACAAGATCAAATTAAATGACATTACCGTATACACACTATAAACTATAGGTCTAACACAAAAAATAGAAAAAAAAGCCCATCAGAAGTCATCTAAAGTATAGATTTAGATTATGGGGCCTTGATAATCGCTCAGCTGGACTGTGTCACTTTATCGATCGATATCTTGGCCAAGACAACGATTGTGTATATTATAACAAGATAGTTCACTACACCTCTAATTGAGCCAATTAAAAAAGAGTCCTCAAAATTCTGTGGTGCCCTCTTCGAAAAAGTGCGGAGTTTGTGATCAGAGTTACCCTACATGTGAGAGAATTAATCAATAAAAAAGTGAAACTAACAAAAGTAACTTTGCTATTTCTATTCTTCTGCTGGAGAAACGAAAAGCTTCAAAACAAAGGCTGTAGCGTCATCTGAACCAATGCAGGGACTTCCGCTGACATTTTTTCAAATGGCTAAGAGAACACTCTTGTTATGTACGATCTTTGGCCTAAAGACTCTACGATATCAAGATAACTTGCAAAGTCACTGGTGGTCACTATTTAGGCTATTATAACTTGACTTGTAATTTACTAGAAATCTACCTCATTTTCCACAAAAAAAGGTCATCGTTTTTAAGCCCTTTATAGGCCTACTTTATATAGATCTAATATATTATATATTCTTGATTTAGCGGCGCGTTTCCCGATCAAAGTAGGTCAGCCCTATCCTGCGCGCTTCCCGGGTAGCCTGGCTCACGCCCTTTGCCCTCTAACTCTTGTCCTGCGTCTGTGTTGAGATATGAATCTTATCAGCAACCGATTACGTCGGACGTTCCGAGCAGGCCGCCGGGGTCACTCAGTGTGTACTGTTGGTGTACAGCGCATGCGCCGGGAAACGAGTGTTTCCGCCATGAATACCGTAGGAGTGTGTTAATCGATGATGAAAATAACGCTCTATCTTTCATAGATAGCTTTCTATAATTAAAGTGTTACAAACACATTCATAACCCCCTCTCACAAGCCGATTATAAGACATTACGAGTAGTTACGCCCATTCGAATATAACTTTTCTAGACACTCTTTTGTTATGAATTACCTGGGGTTTGATAGTAATATCTATGTTGCAGGTCAATTTCCTAATGTTTTGCACTCTTGTCAATGAA